CGGTGAGTCCCTCGGCCTCGAGCAACATGCGCAGCTGGTGAACCTTGGCCTGCTGCTCGGGCGTCAGGTGGCCGGCGTGGCCCTCCACGGGCTCGGGAGCCTCAATGGGGAAGTCATAGTGGTCGTATTTCTCGCTGAGTTCTAGGGGCGCCATGGCGGGGAGATTATATCTGAGATTTTGACTGTGAAGGGCCGCGGAAGAGAGGAGTGGGACGGTGGTCTGTTTCGATGGAGGGCGATGAGAATGACGGCGGAGAAGAGCAGAGGCGAGAGGAGGAGGAGGGAAGCAAAGATGGAAATGATATAAAAAGGGGAGCGGCGAGGTCTGGAGGAGGATCCCTGGAGCCTGTAATTACCACTGCTTGCACAGCGTGGCGGTATAAACGGCTGAGCTGGCTGCATGGTGGGGACTTTGCGCCGTCGTCAAAGGCGGTGTCCCGAAGCGGGCTAGCGGCAGACAGGCCGACTGGGCACAAAAAACGCACGGGGCAGTTTTGCATGTGACTTGTCACATGGCGATAACTGGCGGTTGTCGGTTCCTGGAGGCTTTATCGTCAATGCTGCATCTTTTTTCGGTCACTGCAACTCTTCTGCCGCAGAGCCTCGAGGGATACCAAGCCGACTCCCCCATCGTCTCGATTCCCTTCTATTTCGATGGCGAGCACTCTCACGCCTCCACCATGAGGAGCCCGCCCCTGCGAATCAGCGTCAAAGTCGCCGTCCGCCAGATTCACAGCGCCGCCGCTGCGCCGCGCCCTCGTTCGTTTCACCTCACATCACAGGCCGGCTTCCCCCGGCGGCGCTACTTCTTCACCTCGAACCCGTATCTCTCCTCCCAGCCCGGTAGCGACGATGCGAAACCTCTCGCGTACGAGAATCGTCCCGACCAGCCGCAAGCGCAGCCCGGCCCTGCCAACGCCAACGCCAACGCCAATGCCTCGCCGGTAGCCAAGCGCAAGCCCACGCGGGCCACACCGACCAAGAACTCGCTGCGCCGGGTCGCCATCATCGCCCAGCAGCCGAAGCGGGGCGGCGGCCAGGGCAGCCCCGGCGGCGTCGACGCGGCCGCGGCCGACCCGTCTAACATGGTCAGCGCGACGTGCATCGCCGAGGCCTTCAACATGGGCGTCGTGCTCGAGATCCTGTCGTCTCACGGCTTCGCCATCGACCCGGACGGCACGGGCTTCGACGCCGCCGAGGTGGTGCACGCGCGGGGCGTCAACGGCGGCGACATCTTCGTCTTCCCGTCGGGCACCATCGTGACGTGGTCGCTGCCGCCCGACGTCGTGACGCGGCAGATCCTGCGGGCCGCGGAGGAGCCGCACCCCGAGGCGCTGCGCGAGGTGGAGGACCTCGAGTTCGCGACGGACAACGGCCGCGAGACGAGCACGCTCAAGGGCGACGTCGTCGTGCTGGGCACGCGCAAGGAGCACCGGGACGGCGACCTGCTCGACACCACGCTGGCCAAGGTGGCCTTCTCGTCGGGCCTCGCCCGCAGCACCAAGCTGGCCGTGCTCGAGTCGGCGCTGACGTCGTACTTTGAGAGCACG